TACGTATCTCCTGCTGGTGGTAGTCTTTGCCATAGCCTAAAGTATTGTTGCATAGTGTGGTGCGGTATTGTGGCAGGCTGCCTGGTCAAAATGTGTAACTTCAGCCTCACATTTTGCCTACAGTAGCTGGTGAACTACTAAGCTTATGGGTGCCATATGTGTAAAAATAAAATAATAATAATCTGCAGCAAAAACCTTGTTTAGTAAAAGCAGGATAAGAGAAAGAATTAAATTGTATATAGGTAACAAAACTGGCAGAGAGATCTGAAGGAATTTTTGAAGGTTTGTTTTTGTTTGGTGTTGCTTTTTGTGAGTGAGGAAGGGGAAATCCTCCAAATTTCTTTAGTCTTGTTATACTCTTTGAGTCTGTTTTTAAAATTAGTACCACAGAGTTATTGTTGGAATTGCAATGCCTTAAAGTATGAAATTGGTACGGTTTATTTCACACACATATTATGGCTAAGAATATTTCACATTTTGAATTGATATAGCTGAATATTGTGGCACTTTGAAAGCTGTTGCTGTCCTCTACCTCCTGTCTTCTATGCTGTAATTGAAGTACAGAAGAGTTGTGCTGTAACTGTCTAAATGTGGTCAGGTTAATTTGGTCTCCTACACTTAGATATTATATTAGCATTAACATTCTTCCCCTTAATATGTGTTTCTTTCTTTTTGTTTCCCCACAGACGTTTGCTTGCTAGAAAACCTGAAAATGGGTTGATGTCAGTGCATATGCATCATGTATTGAGTATTCTGTTTCGTTCTGTTTTTTATATTACTTGCATACTAAAATGCACATTGCTTGTTTTCCAACTATGTTGTCACCATCAATTTAAGTGACTTGGGATCAGCCTTTGTCATTGGAGTCATATGCATGTAGGCATACGTATGGAGTCAAAGCTGGACAGCTTTGGCTCATTTCATAGCAGTACAGGCAACTGCCTGACCTTGGGTCAATAAATATGCTTTCTTTTTCCTTTTTTTTTTTTTTTTTTTTTTTTTTCCTGACACAACAGCTCTGTACTTCATGCCACTTTCCCAATATAGTTGCACTGTTATTCTGATGTTGGAAAAACCAAACTGAATCTAGTCTGGCCTGGAAATGAATGAATTCTCAGCTGGAACAAAAATAAAGCAACAGTAAAATGTGAGTGACCAAGGACTGAAACATGTACTTTTTTTTTTGTTTTGTTTTTTTGTTTTTTTTTTTGTTTAAAGCAAGAACTGTCAAAGAATTGAGATATAATAAAACTGAGTTTTTTCCAAGCTTCTCCTGTATTTCACAAATAAAGATTTTTATTAAAAATACCCAGCAGGTGTCAACGCTTCTTTCCATGCCCATACTGAAACTTCATTCCTAGTCCTAAAGGAAAACACAATGGTGACGTAAGAATATAGATATAAAACTGCCAGGTTATAACCTATTTCTTCCATTCATCAGACCCTGTCAGAGTGAGAACTGTTTCACTCTATTTTAGATTATTTAGCTGAGCCAGGCAAATGTGCATCAACAAGGCTGTGGAGACTTAGTGAGATCCCTGTAACAAATGAAACTCTTCACCCTATGTGGAGAATTAGTTCTAGGTCTGGGCTAGCAGCACTTTCCTGATGGCCATTCCAAGCACTGGAGGGAAGTTCCTGCACAGTTGAGCCACTGCTTTCTGGCCCTCATGCTTCTTTCTCCCAAGGAGTGCTCACCCCTTTGGAGTCTTGAGACAGAAGAAAATTTGGGTCTGAATTCCTGTTTCTTAGCTTTGGTCAGCAGGACCCCAGGCATGGCAGCATTCCAAAAGTATAGTGCAAATTCAGGGCAGCAGTGACAGATTAATCTGAAATAATAGACTTCACCCATAAGCAGCCTGGAGGCAGTATTTTCAAAGAATCTGTGCAAGACCTTCTGAAGTTTATCTTGCAGAATATTGCAGTGAATGTTTTACCATCAGGCAAAGTAAACCTGAATGATATGCTGCCAACAGCATTGCTGGCAGGGTCATTGTGCTACTGGCAATGGCATTTTTCGAAGGAAAAATTAGACATGCCATTTGTTTAAACAAAATGAAGCTGGTTACCATTAGTGCTCAAATTTGGAATCTAGCAGTTAATGTCTTCTTTGAAAACAGTCAAGTTAATTTCTGTTTGCGTCAAAAAGAATTTTCTACAGGTGTCAGTGTATACTTAGTACTACTTTTAACTAAGAGGGCAGTCTTTAAAGCAACCCAAAACTCTGAAGAGTTTCTCGGGCTAGAATGAAGTCCTCCCCTCCAAGTCTGCCCTGTACAAATATGTCTCTGAAAAAAAAAGAAATCAACTGTGAAAATCTGAAGTTGCACACATGGTTCCACAGTCACAAAAGAACTCCCAGATGGGAAGAACTTGTATTTAGAAACTCAGGATAAGTACTTCTTGCGATACCTTTTTTCATACATAAAGTACATAGAATTAGTTGAGAGCACTCTTTAGTACAGCTTCTGCTTGTTGTACTTATCCCTTTCTTGCCCCGCTATGGGAATGAGGAGAACAAGTGCACTCATGCACACACAAACAATTCCTTCTTGCTGTGAGCTATGATGTCTTTGTATGTGAAAAAACACTGTGAATAGAGGATCTACATGGGGTGTGGAGTGAGGGGGAGAAGGAAGAGGAAAAAAAGGTCTTGATGGAATAAGGTATAATTCCCACAAAGCTTCAAAGTTTTTTGCCTTTACGCTTTCATAATTGTTATTTGTCTTTCTGATTTGTAAAACTAATTAGAGAGCTGAAACAAGGTTAGGAATTCCAACGGGCAGAATTATTAGGCCAGAGTTTAGAATTAAAACTATAGCTCAGATCCACGTAACATGAAAGCACAGCATTACTACTCATCCTTTATATTGTTATTAAAAAAAAAAAAAAAGTCTGTTGGATTCCTTCAAGGCCTCATGGACAAGACAGAGTCTGGGGAGTTTTATCAATTACACTGGGGAGAAGCAGTTGTTTTACGTTACGTTCATTTCAGTTAGCAGAGAAGTCATTCGTCCAAAGTAAACAAGGGTTTTCGGTAAAGGGCTCAGAGTCAGCTCATGGATATTGACAGAGGAATCCAGTTCTTGCAACACTTAGTAAGATATTTGAGAAACTAATTACCAGACTTGCTTACTACTTGGTATAATATTGTGGTGTCCTGTTCTAGTGGTATAGTTTGCCAGCAACAAAACAGACGTTTAGATGTAGAGCTTAGGGATATGGTTTAGTGGGGACTGTTAGCTGTGAGGTTGGACTCGATGATCTTGAGGTCTCTTCCAACCTAGAAATTCTGTGATTCTGTGATTCTGTGATACCATGGTTTGTCATTTTTGTTATTTGCAGAGCTCGGTTTAAATACAGGATAAGTCATGCCATTTGTTGGTATACTGCAAAGTGAATACTGTCTCAGGTGTCATTTTCTGTGTTTCTTCTTAGTAGAACATATTTCTGTAGGAAGTAGTAGCAAATTTATTTATAAACTAACCTGCCTTTGTAATTTGGCCTTTGCTCTTAGAAAAAAAGATTTTGGTCTATTCAATGATCTATGAATTTTGTAATATAAATCAATCCTGGGATGTAATGTGCCTGCTGTTAATTCAACTATTTTCTCTGTTCTGTAAGGGAAAGTGTTTATGCCACACATGTGTGTCTGCCAGGTGAGGTTTATCACTTGTTTCAGTTATAGGGAGGCCTGAAAACATGCCCACAATGATCAAGGAGTAAAACAGAAAGTATAGGAAGATCCTCAGAATAAAGTCTGAGGACTTCAAAGTGAAACCTCTTAGAAAAAGAAGGGAGAGAGGAAAATGAGGAAAGGGAGAGATACAGCAGATAATGAATAGAAGAAAAAAATGGTTTGTTTGCATGAGTAACACCATGCCCATTTCCTTGGGTGACCTTATTCAAAGCAGTAGGAAGGAATTAGTTACAACATGCAACCCAAACAGCTTTTAAGAGATCATGAGAGAAGCCTTACACGTGTATGGCCTAAAACAGCTCATGGGGAATCAGAACGAAAATATGTCATGACATCATTGCTTCTAAAATCAGCCTTTTCAGTTTTGATAGAGCCCCAATGATTTTGTTCACTGACCTTGACATCCCCATTGAGTAAACCCTAAGTTTGACCTTGAATTACTTTTCTGATGACTTACCAGGGCAAGCAAAGAAGGTCTGGGTCATGCTTCAAGCATTCAAACAAGTCTGGCTCCATTGTACTGGAAAGGATGCTTAGTTGGTTAGAGCTAACAGAATGATGACATATGAAAACAGGGAAAGTGCCTGGGATTTGCTTTTCACAGTTCAAAGTCACAAGCACATTTCAAAAACCCAGACCTTTTGTCATGTGCAAGAAATCACACGTACTTAGGTCAGATCTGTAGCCAGATGTACTCAAGTATAAGCACAGAATAAAAGAACTATTTTTTTTTAAGAGAAGCGCAATTTATCTCACAAAAAAAAAAAAAAAAAAAAAAAGTTCATCTGCATCACATTGCTGAAAAGAATAATTAATAACATGTGAATATAACTCTGTCTGGCAATTTTTTTTCTGGGCTTCTGTGCTCCCTGCAACACGACCAAGAATTGGGTTGGTGTTTTTGAGAGGATGCCTCATATCAACAGCCAGTGCCATGTTCCACTGAAGTGCTTCAGTGAAGTTGAAAAGAGTTGAAGGACCTGTTTCCTTCTTCTAGATTGTGCTGCTACAATTTTCCAATAGCAATAGCTATTGCCCTTAGGACGATATCTTCTAAGATTTATTATTTGGTATCTCTATGTAGTTTGAGATAATGTGTAGCCTTTCTGTGCAGAGGCTTGACATATTCATCAAACAGCTCCCTGCTCCATTTAAAGTAGGAAAAAAAGTGCTGTAGTACAGCTGAGAAATCTGCCTGGTGTCACAGAATAGCTACACGGTAATCCATGTTCTCAGGAGGAGTGTGTTTCTAAGCAGTCTCTAGGAAATGAGATCTTTGATGTTCCTTCCTGAGTCTAACTTCTAGACATGGTTCATTAGGAAGATCACTAAGGCGGATCTTTGAGAAAGGAAACTGGTATTTAAAGACATTTGCTCAAAAAGTTTAGACAGCAATATTTGTCTGTTGTTCTGCTAACAGTTAAGCACTTCTCTAGCACTGGAGTTATACCCATCACCAGGTCCTTGTGTATATTAAACTACTGAGTCAAACTAAGGAGGTCCAGAACGCTTTTCATAATTAAAACCTTGTAACATTTTGTTAGCTTAGAAGAGCAAAACTTTTAATATTCTTGAGAAATGGCTTTAGAGGCATGTCGAAGTTGTTTGAGTTGTCTGCTGATACCTCTTGCACTTTGGAGTATTGTTGTTAATGTCCTATTATACTTCCCTAACGGGAATGCTTCATATGCCACCAGTTTCCAGCTTCCCAACTATGTGTGGTATTTCGAAGGGATCTGTTTCTCAGGTGTGATGGTAAGTGTTGATTTTATGGATTTTTTTTTAATGAATTGCAATTCAACTGCAAATAATCTTGGGTTACGGGGCAGCAAAGTAATTGTGTCTTTAAAGGGAAAATGGATTTCATTGTCAAAATACTGCAGACAGAAAAAATTGATCAAACTGAAGAAATTATGACTATATTGAATGACATGCTACATATGCTATTTAATTTCATATATGTGATTTTGCAAGGCTGTTTTTTTTTGTTGTTGTTGTTGTTGTTTGTTTGTTTTTTCTGCTTGATTTTTTTTATATGTAATTTACACTTAAATTATTGAGTCAGGAACTATTTTGATATAATCCTCTATGGACTTTGAATTAAAGCTCTTTTAGCAAGACAAAGCAAAACAAAAATCTGAAAAAAAGCCTGTCATGACTGTTCAGATGTTTTTAAGAGCTGTATACAGTCCAGTATTTAGAAGACTGATTACAGTTCACAGGACATCAAGTTTCACTGTTGTTAGGTTAAATACAGAAGATAGTCTCATTATGCCTGGCATAGTTGGATTTTCTCCATTTTATTTGTAATGTGTTCATCTTCAGTAATAAATTAACATAGAGTTGCCTACTACTCATGCTGTTCGCTATGTTCATAAAGAACCGTAGCCTCAGGAACAGAAAGTAGTAACGTGATAAAAGTTTGTTTACACAACCCGTATTTTAAAGAGCTAATGTGCATGAATAAGGTGGTTTTATGAAGCTGCTGAACTGTGAGAGGTATTTAAACATGAAGGATTCATTTAAAAGTATGTATTCTTCCTAAAGCAGAAGAAAAAAATAATCTTTTTCCCTATAGGGAAAAAAAAAAAAAAACTCTCAGGGAAAGAATTTGAATGCAAAAGAATAGTTGAAAATTTAGCAAAAAGTTAACTGCAAAAGCTACATTCATATTTTGAAATATTTTTAGCCTTGGGATCATTACCAATTTATTAATGATGTATATATTTTCCTGTTACAAACAGGGCAGCAGCATGTGAGAAGATAGTGTTGTGCTAGCATGCATATGCTAGCAACATGTTTTGCTAGAGCTCATCCCAGTGATAAAAACCCTAATGTCAGCAAAGCTTCTGGTGGCTCATGGCATTTTATGTAGTTCCAAACAATGGGTTACTTAAAATGCTGCTGTGATTGATAACATTACATTTCTGAGTTAACTCTTAGCTCTTTCTTCTTGTGTTTTTCTCCTAACTTCCAGCCCTCATAAGTGACAAATCTAGGGCCATCTGTTTTGTTTTTCCAAACAGTTTCAGAAACTCCTCCTTTTTATATTTATCCATTCAAACCAGTGCCTTTCTGAGTAGCAACTTTTGGTTCTGGAGTCCAAATCTTATTTATTGCGTTTCTAGTATCAGGTTTAAATAATCAGGTTTAAATATTCTGAGAAAAACAGTATGCGTACTTTACAAAGAAAGAAAAGCAAATTCCAGCTGAATCAAACCTAGGCTTGTACTACTGACTTCTAGCATAGCTGCGTTGGTAAGGGAAGTGACATCCTGATCCACGTAACTGTCAGGAAGAAGCTGTTGAACTGATGTGACTAGATCAATGATATATCCTTCCTTTCATTGTTATTAAATCTTTCATTTGTGAGCCTGGTTTTTTGTTTGTTTGTTTGTTTGTTTCAGTTTCACTGGTATAGCTGTGTCCATGCTAGTAACACTTCACTGGGATGGGAGACACTACTATTAAATCTAGTGAACACAGACCAGGTCTGTGGTGCTTTCCTAGTGCAGATTTAAAATCTCAGCAGCGCATAACAGATACAGTTATCTTGATTAGGACAGAGAGAATTTGGCTCAGTATATCTGCAGTCATTTTACTCACTTTATAATGTGCCCTTACAGATCCTTCTCTTGGCAGTAATTCTCATAGCTCTGGAGTGTAGTGTGTTCCATCAGTGCTGCCAGAGTGAGAGCTGTAATAAAACCTACAGGGTGAGTCTATCTTTTATTTTTTGTGTACCTAATCAACATTTGTTCTTGGCATCTTCCTGTTCCTGTGTTTTCAGTACATCCTTCTTAGCTCTCTTCTGCTCTGGTTCCATTTTCTTTCACAGAGAAGGATTCTAAGTCAGGTTGAGAGGTCACAGAATGTGCAGCTGATTCCATTGATGCATATGCAGAATGGAAGAAAAACAAACAAAAATCCTTGTAAAATAAAATAAAAACATAAAATGCAGTAGAATTTTAATTGAATGCTCCTTCTAAATAGTTTCATCCCCTTGCTTGTATTATGTGGAAGTTATTTTTTCTAGTAACAGGTCAATATATACTGTCTGGGATGCAAATATGTTTAATGCAGGCATGTATTCCTCTAGCATACTGAGACACAATTTTGCAAAAACACAAGTTTTAAAAAGATCCACAAACAAAATTTAACTGAGAGTTGTAAAACTGTCATAAATTCTGCCTTAATCTTTCCTCTGCATATGTATGTTTACTGTTCATTATTTGGTATTTTTCTCTCTGAATTTTGAAGAGTGGGGCAACCACATGTGAAATTCAACCTCAAGGAAGCAGCTGGTCAGGAAGAATGAGTGTATGTTCAGTGGAGACTGCCCGTATAGTAATGTTTTTCTCTCTTTACTTTAGAGTTTTATTTCAATTGTGTTAGCCCTGCTTGGAGTTGCTTTCTCTGGATACAGTTGCATCATTTTTACCTTGGGATTGATCCAAGGCCCATTCTGCAATTCATCAAATGGATGGGACTACATCTTCAAAAATACTGTTGGAGGGTAAGAAACATCAGTGTTAACTCCTGGAAGAAACTGTTCATCAAAAAAATAGACAAATTCTGTCAGACCCTTACATAAAATGGCACAATCTCTTGAACACAAGACCTATATTGTAAGAGTGAAGTTTTTCAGCTTGTTCAGTGAGCACCAGAACCTTCAAAGAAAGGTATTTGCTTCCTTATAAGAAAAGCTTAAATGTAAGAATCTTTGTACTGATCAAACCTGGAGGTCCATCTAGCCAAGCATTCTTTATCTGGTGATGGTCACAACCATGTGAAGTAAAGAATGTAAGATTAGATTCAGTGTAGATGGATACTTCCTCAATATTGTCTCAAATTCCTCAAGTTCTTGGTTCAAAGACTATAGATGGAATTTTTATGTTTAATAATTTAGTAGGTTTCTGTTTAACTCCAATAGACTCAAAAGTCTGCAGTTTGATCATTGGAAAGTTTTGCAGAGAGCTGCTATGTCTCAAAACAAAACAAAACAAAACAAAACAAAACAAAACAAAACAAAACAAAAAACACCTGAGGAAGGTAGACAAAGTGTTGTTGGTGTCCCAGACTCCTAGAAGCATGAAAGGTTTTATTCAAATGTGTACTCTGGCAATGCTTCCACAAGATTTTACATTCTGCCTTTAAAAGATTAAGGTTGTATAAGACTTGAATTTTTCAAGTTATATTTGTCAGGCTCTTCCAGCTGCAGATGAATGCACTGAGGATTAAATTTGTCAGAGGCTTTCAATTACAAATGGTTGGGGAAAAAAACAGCATCACTGAGCAAGTGATTCTAACAAAGCTTCTTGCAATTAAACCCCAGGCTACTGCATGTCTCACAGTTAAAAGGGCATAACTAGCACATGTAAATCATGCACATACAGGATCCTCAAGGATGCAAAGTGTGGCTCTAAAACAACTGGAATTTGCATGTAGTGACACTTACAAGGTTGCATGCACTGATCAGAATGATGTAATTTGGGTGTTCAGCTGGACTTAACTTAGAGCTAAAATTAAATTAATAAAAGGAAAGTCATAGAATCATAGAAACACAAGGTTGGAAAAGACCTACAAGATCATCTAGTCCAACCGTCCTCCTATCACCAATACTACCTACTAAGCTGTTATAGAATTATAGAATCATAGAATATCCTGAGTTGGAAGGGACCTATAAGGATCATTGAGTCCAACTCCTGGCACCACACAGGTCTACCCAAAATTTTAGACCATGTGACTAAATGCACAGTCCAAATGCTTCTTGAACTCCGACAGGCTTGGTGCAGTGACTACTTCCTGGGGAGCCTGTTCCAGTGTGCAACCACCCTCTCAGTGAAGAACCTCTTCCTGATGTCAAGCCTAAACTTCCCCTGCCTCAGCCTGACACCATTCCCATGGGTTCTATCACTGGTGATTAAGAATAGATTGGCGCCTTCCCCTCCACTCCCTCCCATGAGGAAGCTGTAGACTGTGATGAGGTCTCCCTTCAGCCTCCTCTTTTCCAGGCTGAACATGCCAAGTGACCTCAGCCACTTCTCATACGTCTTCTCCTCTAGTCCCTTCACCATCTTCGTTGCCCTCCTCTGGACACTCTTCAACAGTTTTGCATCCTTTTTGTACGGTGGTGCTCTGAACTGCACACAGTGCTCAATGGGAGGCCGCACCACCGCAAAGTAAAGCGGGACAGTCGCTTCCCTTGACCGACATCTGCCATTGGAAAAACAAAAATGCAGTGTCTTTCTAAGCACTTGGGTGTCTAACAGAGAAATTAATGAAACAGGTGTATGTGAGGTACATAAGTCTCTATTCTGCTGCGTTTGGCAAACCTATCCAGGATTTACAGTGGTGTAATGAAAGACCAGAGTCTGGCTCTTAAAGCTTAAGCATATAAAGTCCAGTATGGGTTTTCTATATAGGAAAGTTAAAATAATGTGTATTTAAATATAATTGCATACACCGTATTTAATTTGCTTCACATTGCTGTTTCTCTAATAGGTACCTCACAGATTACTCTGCTTGGTCACAGTGCACTGAACCTGCTAATGCAGTGGAATGGAACATCATTTTACTCTCTATTCTGATAGCTCTTAGTGGACTGCAGTTGATCATCTGTTTTCTCAAAGTGGCTGCTGAGTTGAAACGGACACTCTGTGGGACCTATTCTGTTTTTGTTCAGGTAACAAAAGACCCGAGGCTGTCTTCTTTCTTCAGCATCTACAAGGTCAGTTTAGCTTCAGCAATTTCTCTCAATAGAAGACGTAGTCTTCTGGTTAATGCATTCTCTTTTCCACTGCATATTAAGAGCAGACAATATGTACTGACAGTAGATCTGCTGCATCCTTGTGCTATACAGGGATGACTGTCTGCTCACTCTAACTTTTGAGGCTGGGATTAAAAATAAAAATAAAATAAAATAAAAATAAAAATAAAATTTTACTCCCATGTCAGCAGAGGCTTCTGAGCATCTTTCTTCTAGCATTCAATGTAAAGTCATTCTTATAAATGCATAGATCTCACAGCAAAAAGAAGATGCGAGGTAGTAAGTAGCACTTACTACAGTCCAGGTATCAGTATTTACTGTATTTTCACTAGGTTATTGAAATGATAACTGAGAGGGCTCTGCTTTGGCACAAGAATTAGTTCAAATTCCAGAGTTCAAGTGACTGATGCACACCAGTTTTAAGTGATGTGTTCTACTGGCATTCACTTTCCCTGACTTTGGAGGTAAGGTGAAATGAGGGATGCTTACTTCTCCCTGTCCATCTGCACTCGAATGAAACAAGGTTTTTATGTAGCTAGCAGTATCAGTGTTGACAGAACATTCAAGAAAGATTTCTGGGTCAGGGAAAGCAACAATGCCCTAAAAACATGTATGTGCACCCACATGCACACACATATATGTACACCTGCACACGCACACACACACACACCTGACACCACACACAGTGTGGGGGGGTATCTTCAACATGTAAGCTTTCTTGCAAATGCTTTGGGAAGCAGTGTGGGGAGGCCAGGGCAGGTAGGATGGCAGTGACTACATAGTGCAAGCATCCTTGAACGGTGCTGAGCAGCATGTTCAGAGAAGCTGTGAGTGCCATGGAGGGCCTTGGGCAAGCAGACAAGGAAGCGTTGCTTGTAGGACTTGACTATAACAGCAGCCTATAATGAGGTCATGGCCTGAGGCAGTTTCTCTCAAAAACATGTTTCTTGCCAGAGAAAGAAACCTGAAAACCAACCTAGCTTTCAGTGAAGTCGAAAAGAATATCTTCCCGTGGGAGCAGAAGGGTCACCTCTTGTGCCCTGAATGTATGTTGAATTTAGGTTGGATATGGATATTTAAGAGTCAAACAACTTCTAAATTGAGTTGAAAAAAGCGAGTCTTCCACTTCATTCCTTTTTTTTTGTTTGTTTGTTTTCAGGCTGGGATTCTCTGAAAATGGCAAGGAAATCTTCATTGCTTCTGCCACACAAGCACCAAAAAAAAAAAAAAAAAAAAAAAAAAAAAAAAAAGAAAGAGGGAGAGAGAGAGAAATGGCTTCCCCAGCATTTAAGATGGCAGATTTAGTTGCTGCAAAGACAAGTGAAATCTTTGTCTTCAATCTTTCTTTCTAGAATGTCTGTATTGTGGAGGAAGGTATTTGAACGGTTTGATGGCTAAATACTGGACATCTGTAATTTCCTAAAGAAAAGCTGTTTTCTAACCTGTCCAGTTGTGCATAGCCATGACTCTTCACTTCTTACCTTCCAGCTTGTTCTGACAATAGGGAGGTTTAAATACCATGGAACTGCTTTTGTCCTAAGCCTGCCTTTTTTTTTTTTTTTTTTTTTTTTTTAATAAACTGCAGTAAAACTACTTTTATAGTCTCCTCCTGTCTTTGTTTAGAACATGTGAGTATTTGTTGTTATGATATGGCCTGATTCAAATTCCACTATATCTGGAGGAATTCTACCTTGAGAATTAGTTTATTGGATGAAGCCAAGTTTCTAAATGGTTAAGTTTAGTTACAGACAGACCATAATGGTCATGAAAGGCAGTAGTCTATCCTATTCTGTCCTAGAAGCTTATTAACTGCACAAATCAATCACTGAAAAATTTTAGCAAGTCTTGCTGAGGTAAGGCTTTCAGAAAGACATCCAGGCCTGATTTAAAGATCAGATACACCACTCTGAAGTCATATATGCTAATTAGTATGGCTTAATAGGTGCACTGGGCCTCTTCTTTTCTACCTGGAGGGAGACTTTTATTATTATTATTATTATTATTTTATTTCTTTTTGGAGAGGGGGAAGGAGTCAAGCGTTATGGGAATTGAGGGAATATAGGAAGGTACCCTGCACTGGGAGCACCCAGTGCTAGTTTACTAGTACTCTTGTGAATACCCTGACTTTGCTGCAAGAGAAGGCTAACATTCTTGCCAATAATAATCAGAGGAAAAAAAATCATCTTTTTAAAATTGGCAGCTAAGGAATTATTGTTTCATTCCTCATGGAAATTCAGGGATTCACAATAAAGTGGACATATGGTTCATCTACAGCTGCTTGGGCAACATTTGATCTTGCACTCTATCTTCAAGAGAGTGAAAACACAGAAGGCAAACGACATGCTTCAGACTAGCAGTGATGCATGTAACCTTGTTACATCAGAACAAATGGAGCTCAGGCATATGAAAATTGAATATTAAATTTGCACTGTTAGAAGTGTAAGCCATACTATAAGCAACAGTTCTGGATAAAATATTTAGGAAAAAAAAAAATAGAACATTTAAGTAATTTAATTCTGTTTAAGATAACTTTGAGATTTTGCCTTTATATTCCTCTGACAAATACTTTGGAAAACCGATTTCTTCCTGTAGGATTTGAATAATAGAGCTAAACTTAATTGTTTAGTTTCTATTAAGTTGAATGAAGCAATAAAGAAATTACTGATGGTTAAAAATGTATCTAGTCTTTTGGGTGACAATTCAGGGTGTCATGGATGTTCAGAGGCAAATGATAGACATGATGACAAAATAGGGACTGTAGAACTACACATTTTTTTTCCATAGGTTTAAATATATGTCATATTATAACACAACTTAAATGATAATCCCACATTCTTATGGATTTATGGATATTGCTTGAGGACAGACAGCAAACAAATAAACAAAACCTTAACAATCAATTCCTACCAAATATCTTGGAAAATCTTGCTGAGCTCATGCTTATAAACCATGGAGCTGCTTATTTTGTTAAGGATTGAAAAAAGATTTTGGTTATTTGGATAAAAACTAGTATGTGTGGGGTATACATCCAGAGCAGAAAAATGCTAAAATTGTAAAATGTTTCTAAGGTGAAGAGCTCCGTTTCATTGAGGAAATCAAATAAATTAACTATTCTGTTCAGACTCCATCTCAGTCATGGGGAAAACACAGGCTTATTTTTAGACAAACAGAATCTATTGAGGTAGATTTTAATATGCTAGATAAGAGCAATGAAATACCTGAAAGTTACATCTGGAAACACTTAACCCTTCTTCTTGCTCCTGTATCTGTCCTCTCCACTTTCCAATGGTATCTGTCTCTGATAATGAAAAATATTGAGTGTAGCTGACAGAAGACACAAAGTATCTGGTTTCACAGCTTTTTCCATAGTAATCTTATTATTGGCTCTGCCTAAACACTGACAAGGTTCAGTTGTCTTTACTTCATCTGTGATTGTGTCATATGAATCTACATTTCTTCTCTAACACAGGCTTGTGTCTCATATTTTAGCGGCATAAATGAAAAGAAAAGATGTTTTCATTGAACATATTGAATCTGCAACCCTCTTTATCCATAATCCAGATATTGGAATCTCCATCGCCCTGGCCAACTTGACAACACAGCTTTTAAATGGGCAGATTATTCATTTGAAATTGATGGTGTTAGTACCAAAGGCTAATAGTGTTTTGTTTGTTTGTTTGTGTGTGTGTGTTTTGTAGGGGTTAAGGCAGAATTAAATTTAATTACTTAATCAAATCAGGCAAACCTTATTCAGTTCTAAATATGCTGTCACTAACAAGTAATGCCTATTAGCTAAAAACAAACAAAAAAAACCCTACAGGATTCCTGTAAGGAATATTAACTGATTTGAAATCCAGACATACCTGACTGCTTTGATGGTGATGTTTGAGACAACATAGCTGTCTGACTCTCCATTTGCAGAATACAGACTTTACCGTAACCATAGATGGAGGAAGCGAGCCATAGAGCCAGGATAAAGATCACACCTTGCTGGCAGATAGGTAACCCTTCTTTTGAAGGTTTCCTATGCATGTGCTATCTGCTCAAATCTACACATAAAATAGTAAAATTAACTCCTCTGTTAGTGAGGAGTTAATGCTGAAACGTAGAGGTAGGAATGCCAGCATTATTCATTAAAGCCCATACATTTTGTCAGAATATTAAGATGCTGTGTCTGGAGTAGCAATATCATTTGTTTAACCCATTGCAACTGCAAATAGGTCTAGAGACTCATTTTTGACCTCAAATAATTGTGGGCAAACATTTGCAGTAAAAGACAGTGGAGTGCACCCACCTTTGCATTTTTTAGAGTAATTTTCCTCTTGTAGGTAAAAGTGAGTCTCACTGAAGTATGATTTGCTAATGCCCCTCCCTATTCTTCAGATGTTGGATGGCAGCTTTAATCCACATTGGAAAAGACTAGATGGCAGAGGAAAAATGAAGATCCACCAAACTTTGAAGGGTATTTACCTGCAAAGGTTTTAAAAGTCAGAATAGCAGCACAATTAGAGCACTAAACACATCACTTGTATTAGGGAAATATCATGAAATTGTGAAGTTTCATTTCAATCTCCCTGTGAGCCTTTGTTCAGACTTCTTTTCAGAAAACTCCTCTTTTTTTTTTTTTCAGAATATTGATTTTTTGAATTTCTACTTTTAGAAAATTTTTGAAGAAAAAATCAATTTTATATTTTTCAATGCAACTTTGAGGACTATGTGAACAGTCACAAGTTTTCAACACCTTTAGTATAAGAAATGAGGTATTGTGGTTTAAAACAAGATAATATGAATGACAGCAAACTGTAGCTTTGTTACTTAAGCAATTAAGATAGGTACTCATTTTTTTTAGGCTCTGTCTACCAGAGGAGAGAGGCTTCTGTTCTTCAAACACTCTCTGAAGATACTAATGCAGACATGGGAAACTCAGTCACATCAATTTATTTATTTATTTATTTTTGAGATTCTTAGGAGAAAGATAATAGGTGTATGCTCAGGCACATGCATATATTAAATGTTCAGGTGAGGCTTGATAAAAAGATGTAATTGAAAAATTGTGCACACAAAACTTTCTGTTTTGTTTTTCAGTAGAAGGAACATGCATTTCTTTGGCAAATCAAAAAACAGTAATTCACAGTTGTCAAGGGACTAAGGCAAAGAACAGTTTTTTTTTCCCTCAAGTAAATAAGAGGATTTCAGGGATACTGATAACGTACTGTTTCTGCTCCTCTGTTCAATGGCAATTTGAACACACATAAACCAAACAGTCCACGTGTACATGAATAACTGTTAGCTGAGTATTAAGAAATGGCTTTGAATTTCAGTAGTATAAGAGGATGTAAATATTTTATTTTTTAACCTCAGTTAATTTACAAATGAGGCATACACAACCCCAGCAAAACAATCTTTCCACTGAACACTGACTTTCTTATGTGGAAAAGGAAAGAAAAAAGATCCTTACAGAAACTGTTCTGAGCATGTGATGCCAATCTGGGAAATTCATAAATTTCATCATAGATTCGGTCATATTTTAAAAACTTGGCTTTGGTTCAAGTCTTTTGGACAGAAACAGAATTATCCATTTAATGCAGCTATTTAGAAAGTTTCAAAAAGTGATATTACGAACTTCAGTTTTCTGTCAGCAACTGAACTTTTGTGTAGGAATTATGATTACAGTTGGTAATCTATCTGTATAGCACAATCATGGTAAATAAAGTTTAGTTTTGTATGTTGTTAAAGGAAACTTGTTTCACTTTAGTTATGTTCTGAATCTTCTATGTTCTGGATAGAAGTATTTTATCCAAAAAAAAATCAAGATTTTTCTGAGAATTAAAAAAATAGCTTCAAAGAAGATTGTAGTTATTACAGATATTTTAAGCTGTACAATGAAATGTATAATTTTGAATGAGTGTACTCAGAGTTCAAAAAAAAAAAAAGAAGGCCCAAGAGACTGACAATTGTTTTTTTTAATAGAAGTCTTTACAATTTGCAAGTTTACAGTTGGCCTGGTATTCCTAAAGCTTCAGACATAACCATAATACAATGGATGTATGCTTGAAAAAATGCTATTGCAAATTTCAGTTAGGTGCTTTTTAAAAGTCCTAGGTTTCAGGTCCAATTTTGTTGCTTTTATTCAATTAAACTAGCTGG